TTCTAAGAAATTCTACATTTTCAAAATGCATAGTACAACTTTATGTGTATTTTATTGTTTTTTTTTCTTCTTTTTTTGTATTTTATTGTTGAATAACTAAGTAAATACATTGTGGATCATGAGAGACCAAAAAAACTAAAAAGAAAGAAAGAAAGAGCAGAATAAGCCCTGTTGTGTTGGATTAAATTTGGAAGTATCAGTATTAAACTCACGGTTTTTTATAGATCTACAGACAAGTAGGTAGAGAAATAAACATATAGACATGTATATGTGTATGGGTTAGTATACATACATTTTTCTAGTCATGTCTATTGAGAAAGCCTAGACACAATGACACCCCAGCAGCAATAAGCACACCTAGCATCCAGACCTGGGTTTCTAAATGTCATTCTTCAACAAAAAGAACCAGCGCTCCTTGGAAAGTATCTTGTAGCATCAGAAAATAAGGAAGGGCTCAAAAAAAGATAGGAGCATGTCAAAAAGGCACAGGAGCCAACCCGAAAGATTTCCCAATGCCAAAGCTGGAAAACTTTGATCAACAAAACCAATAGAAATAGTAGTACATTATAATCTATAGAATAAATGCCTATGAATCCATAATGACACAAGGAAATAACTGAATAAATAAATAAGGGGAAAAGAGGGACAGCTCTCCCTTACAGAAGACTTTCAATTAGTAAATGTAGAGGGAATGAGTAAAATAGAAAATCACCAATAGAATGTTATATATATGCACATGGTCAGACAATTAAGTTCGCGAACTCATCCTAGAAAAAGTGCTACATACCTCATTGTTGAATACCACTACAGTCACCTTCGAAGTACTCCACTTGGGAAGCTGTGACCGGCGCCAGCGCCTAGTCCACCCTTCAAAGCAATTTTGGAACTCTCTTTTTGGAATGGCCCATCAGAGCTGTCATCATAGTCACCTTGATGTCCTGAATGTCATCAAAATGTCTTCCTTTCAATATTTTCTTTATCTTCAGGTAAAGAAAGAAGTCATTGGGGGCCAGATCAGGTGAGTATGGAGGGTGTTCCAATACAGTTATCTGTTTACTGGCTAAAAACTCCCTCACAGACAGTGCCATGTGAGCTGGTGCATTGTTGTGATGCAACAGCCATGAACTGGCAAAAAGTTCAGGTCGTTTTCATCTAACTTTTTCATGCAGCCTTTTCAGCACTTCCAAATAGTAAACCTGGTTAACTGTTTGTCCAGTTGGTACAAATTCATAATGAATAATCCTTTTGATATCAAAAAAAGGTTAGCAACATTGTTGCAACAAGTTCGCAAACTTAATTGTCAACTCCTCGTGTATATATAATTATTGCAGGCAATATCCACTTTAAAATGCTAAACAGTCGTTGACATAGTTTGAGAAGAGACAGTATATTTGCATTGAATCAAAGTATCTCTCCCAAGACATCTATTTATTACAAAAGGAAGGAGTAACTTTAATGAAATAACCAGGCAGCAACCACTTAAGCTGCTGAAAAACCATCTTGACACCACCAGTAATAAGACATATATGATCATCATGTTCCCCTGATAGGATACACTGAGAAGGGTACATCACTTCTGTTGTATTCTCCCAAAAAGTCATAACCTTAATCTAATCAAAAGAAACCTGAGATAAACCCAAACTGAGAGAGATTTGACAAAATACTGACCAGTACTCTTTAAAAGTGTCATGGTCATGAAAGAAAAAAAAGACTGAAGACCTGGCACAGACCACAGGAAATCAAGAAGACATGACAATTAAATGAAATGTGGGATCCTGGAACAGAAAAATGACATTAGCAGAAAAACAAGTAATCTCTGCAGTTTAGGCATTGCACCAATGTTAATTTCTTAATTTTGATCACTGTACTAAGGTTATGTAAAGTATCAACAATGGAAGAAGTAGAGTGAAGGGTAGACAGAAACTCTGTGCTATTTCTGTAACTTTTCTGTAAATCTAAAGTTACTTGAAAATAAAAAGTTAAAAAATAATGTAGTACTTCTAAAAATAAGAAAGAGAAATGTATTTACTCAATTATAAATTTCTAAAGGTGGAATTTCAGATTAAATTGCATGAAGCAATAGCCTAAAGCAGAACATTTCACTTCACTGGAGGTATTAACAGAAAAGAAGCAGTAGTCAGTACAGAGGTATTTAAAACTGGGTACAGTAGTTAAAGATATCCCACTGAATGGGAGAAGATATTTGCCAGTGATACATCTGATAGGACGTTAATATCCAAAATTTACAGGAACTCATACAGCAAAAAAACTTTACAAGAACACATACACCAAAAAAACAAACAATCCAATTAAAACATGGGCAGAGGACCTAAACAGACAGTTCTCCAAAAAGACATACAGATGGCCAACAGACATATGAAAAGATGCCCAATGTCATTAATCACAGAAAAATGCAAATAAAAACCACAATGAGATATCACCTCACTCCTGTCAGAATGACTATCATCAATAAATCAACAAACAAGTGCTGGCAAGGATGTGGAGAAAAGGGAACCTTTGTGCACTGTTGGTGGGATTGCAAATTGATGCAGCCACTATGGAAAACAGTATGGAGGTTCCTCAAAAAATTAAAAATAGAATTACCTTATGACCCAACAATTCGACTCCTGAGTATTTATCTAAAGAAATCCAAAACACTAATTCAAAAAAAATACATGCACCCCTATGTTTACTGCAGTGCTATTCACAATAGCCAAGACATGGAAACAACCAAAATGGCCATCAAAAGGCAACTGGATAAAGAAACTGTGGTACATTTATACAATGGAGTTATTACTCTGCCATAAAAAAAGAATGAAATCTTACCTTTGCAACAACATTGATGGACCTAGAGGATATTATGCTAAGTGAAACAAGTTAGACTCAGAAAGACAAATACCATATGATCTCACTCATATGTGGAATCTAAAGAACAGAATAAATGAGCAAACAAAACAGAAGTAAACTCATAGATACAGAGAACAAACTGACGGTTGCTAGATGGGAGGGGAGTTGGGATAGGTGAGAAAGGTGAAGGAATTAGAAAGTACAAATTAGTAGTCACAAAATAGTCATGGGGATGTGAAATACAGTATGGGGAATATAATCAATAATGTTGTAAAGATTATGTAGGGTGCCAGACGGGTATTGGACTTATTAAGAGGATTACTTCATAGATTATATAAATGCCTAACCACTGTGCTGTACACCTGAAACTAACATAAAATAATATTGAATGTCAACTATAAATACACACACACACACACACACACACACACACACACACACACACACACACAAGTGCATACATACATACATACATAGGGAGCCAAAAAAATGTATACACATTTTAAGAAAGGAAAAAACTATTACAATTGTAATTCTCAATATATACCAATAACAAAAGATGAACACAAGTCACGTTTGACTTCTGCAATTACAAGCGATGCTCAAAGTGGTTACTATCAGGGTCCAAACACTTCTGATTACGGCAAACTACTGCTTGAGTAATGTTGACCAAAGTGTCCACTTGTATACATTTTTTTGGCACCACCAGTATATATATGATATCAGATGAGTAGTACACTTGGTGGGGTTATCACTTTGTGAGGGGTATAAATCTCTAATCATTATGTTGTTTTGTACACCTGAAACTAATAAAATTAAATTAAATTTTTAAAAAACGAGGTACGATAGCAATGTACAGTTTTTTTACCTCCCTCATTTACCCAACTTAAGATAAATCCAGAATTTTACATGAAGAAATCACATCCCACAAATATGAAGTAAGCCAAGGTAGAAAAAGAGCCCCTAAAGCCATACTATACTCTCTGTGTGGTCTTATAAGGTACTTTTTTTTTTTTAATTCTTAATTGAGGGAGGAAAACAGCATTGCGGAATTGGGGAAGGGGAACAGACAAGTTGCTGTCCTTTTGTTCTTCAGTCTAGTTGTGGAGGACGTCGCTTCACTGGCCCATGTTGGTTATTATCATTGCGCTCTTCCCAGCTTAGGCAGATCGGTCACCGGCCGCTGACAGCAGCTCATGGCAGCTCATGCTGGCTGCCAGTCACTCACAGTAGCTCACAGCAGCTCACACCCACTCACGAAAGCTCACTCCCGCTGCCCGGCCAGCCCCACTGCAGCCTACACGGTCGCTGGCAACTCACAGCAGCCCAGCTCCAGGTCAAGCTATTGTTCATCATCTTAACTGTAGAGGGCACAGTGTCACTGGCCCATGTGGGATCCGAACCGGGGCCCTGCTGCTCAGAGCTGGCATCCCAAGCCAACTCTTAACCAACGCGCCACTCAGCCGGCCCTAAGGTACTCTTGATTCCTTCTCATAGATTTATTCTCCCTCCTTGTTCCATGAAATGTACCAAATTAAAGTTCTCTGTGCCAGATTAAAGTCCTCTGTGCATAATTTGGAATGCTTCAGAGAAAAGTGTCTAATAAATTATTAAAATGTAAATCACAAGGTTCTAGATGTAAACAAGATTATCTTTCTAAACCAAATTAATTTTTTGAAACATTTCCTAAGTAGGTAGAAACTTCATTTTGCTTGTTTAGCTACTCTTGACTAATAGAGAAGAAATAAAGAAAAAAAGAGAGAGAGGTTCAAAAGGACATATTCCAAATAATAATTTCCAGCACATGATTTAAATATAACTCTTCTACATCTATAGGACTATAATGAATGAACGTGAGGAGCTCTAATATATTCAGTCATCAAAGAAATGCTGCATTATGTTTTACATAAAATCTAAAATGAGGCCTGGAAAGTACACTGGTACATCTTACAATGATTTAAACAAGGATGGTCCCAGAAAGGGTTTCCTGGTTAACCCTCAGTTAATCAACATACACCAGTCCCAAAAAAACACTGATTAGTTATGGTTTTACAGTATTTTTAAAATGTTATTTAAAAAGACAAATAGCAAAATACTTTCAATATTAGTAACTCTAAAGATAATGCATAAGTTAAAAGGAAACTAATGCATACCTCATGTAACTCGGAAGATGAAGGCTTTTTCCTTTTTCCTTCTGTAACAATTTCTACAAAAATATGGTAAAAATTATCATTTAATATCTAAATGAGATAAACAATGTAATAACATAAATCCTATCACAGCCATTCTTTGCTTTAAATTCACTTCTTGTTACATTTAGAATTTATATGAATACATTTTACAGAATGTGACAGACTAAAAACAAAAAGGTCACAAAGTAATCAGAAAAGTAGCAGATTCTCACAAAATGTCTCCATTAAACAATAGTTGTATGATGACAACAATAATAAAAAAAGGCAGAGAAAAACTTGGTTTTAAAAACTAAATAAGAAATTCCCTGGCAAAAGTCCTAGCATCCAATAGGTGTTCAATAAATATTGGTTAACCGTAAGACCAGAAAAACTTTCAAATTCTTATGATGGCGTCAGGGAGAGGGCAAGCCAAGCAGAAATTGAGACCTAGAAGCTAGGACTACTTTACAAAAACACTTTTAGTTCTACTACATATCTAAGCATCTATGCAACTGGGAACAGCTTAAGTCTTTCCTCATCAACATTTTTCAGACTTCTTATAGATTTTTTCTCTTATGATTCTTTCATTCAATTAACAAATATTTGTGAAGTCTATCTTGTGCCTGGCACTGTGTTAGGCATTGAGTACAGTGTAGTGAGCAAAGTAAACACAATCCAAGCTTTCCTGGAACTTACAGTGTACTGTAATATATCACAGATTGCATAATAAAAATGAATGGTAGAGATCCACACATATGTGGTCACCTATTTATGACAAACACACCACTGCAATTCAGTGGGAAAGGGGTGGTTTTCAATAAGTAATGCTGAAGCAATCTGATAACCAAATGGGAAAATAAATAAACCTAACCTCTACCTCACACCATACACAAAAAAATTAATTTTAAATGGACCATAGATTTAAATGTCAAAGAGAAAGGAAATCAAGCTTCTAAAATAAAAAGGAGGGGAATATCTTCATGACCTTGGGGTAGGCCAAGGTTTCTCAAACAAGACACAAGCAGTATTAATCAAAAACTTGACTTCATTAAAACTAAGCTGCTGTTCATCAAATTTCATCATTGAGAATGAGAAGGCAGTTATTTGGCACTCCCACAGTAGAGGCCTCACCTTTCCTTGACCTACCTATAGCTTAAAAATAAATCAAACCCCTGTGGCTTGAGCTGGTAATGTCCCCTGTCCCACCCAGTTCCCTGTTTTAGAAAATTACCCTGAAACTTATGATTAATACCCTTAGGCTTATCAATCACAATCTCTATGGTCTAGCATTCTTTCCAGGCTAATCCCATCATTGTTTCTAAATTTATATCTTGCTTACTAGCTGTCACTTCTCTGAGACTCAGGTTCTCATTTCTAGAAAAGGAAAGAATAACCAGCTTTTCAATTAAGATTAAAGCCAGTCTATATTAAAGTATTTAGCATTATGTCTGTCATAGTCAGTCAAAATACCCCTCTTTAAAAGACCTCAATGCTATATATTAGTATTAGCATATAAGAAATTTTAATTATTCTCATTCTAAATATATGAGCCAAACAATTACAAACCATGACCTGTTCCCAAGTAGCTTGTGGAATAACTCATTCACTTATTTCATAAGCATGTATTTAGGATAATAATTACCACTGCCAGACAGTATGCTAAGTACTTTACACAAATTACTTGATTTAATCCTTACAAAAACCTCATAAGATTAGTGAAGGAATTATCTCTATTTTACAGATGAAGAATTTAGGTTTGAAGAATCCAAGTAACTTGCCCAAGGTCACCATGTTGATCCATTACTGGTCTAACTCCAGAGGGGGTATTCTTAATCAGTATATTCTTAACCAGGCATGCTAGATGCTATGGGATTATAGATAAATAAAACAGTCTCTGTGACAGAGTTAATAGTACAACAGCAAAGATTAAACAATTCAGCAAGCTAGAATATATGATGGAATATGATAAATATCATGTAAGAAGTACAAATACCTATGGAAGTTCAGAAATAGATATAATTATTTTTAAGTTTGAGTTAATTAAGAGTTCTTGGAAAGGCATAATTTAACTGGGCTTTGAGGTAAGTTTTATATAATGACCAAATTTTCGATAGGCAGCTAGGATGAAGCAGCCCACATTAGTCAGCCTCCTAAATTACTGGAGACTCACATTAGAGTTACCCATCTAGGAGGCAGGTTTGAGACAGCACCATTATAACAAATTTCCAGTCTAGATCTTTAGAGGCTACTCAATCCTATCCATAACCCATTTCCTGTGTTACCATGTCCCTCTAATCTACATGTCCCTCCAATCCTCTGCCTTCCATCATCAGGCCCGGCATCATTCACCACCCTAGATGCCACTCTCTACGGCCCATTACCTTGCTTTTCTCATTGCTTCCATAATTCAACTCTACCCTTTCGTCTATATTATACCACTACCCCCAACTACCACTTCCAATTAATATTCTACCTTTATTGCAATAATTCCTCTTTTAAAATTCCCATAAATTGGATATATGACCTCACCCATATTTGTGATCACCATGTACTGACCCAAACCTTCTCCAACATACCTGTAATATTCTGATACTTGATTCATAGTTTTCCCCTCTATCATTAAAATCTATCATAATTCTGAATCTGTAAAACTTCTATTAATCCACTCACTCAAAACAATAGGCTCACCTTAATCTATTCTACTCCAACAAACTTGCTCTACACATCCCCATTTCAGAAAAACATTCATGAATGAATTTAAGGAATAGCATTGCACCTCTCAAGTTCTCAAATGTGAACTTCTCATTCTACAACATACTGTCCTTTGGCCCTTCCATTTCCTCACTCACACTGAACCCATTTTTTTGCCCCTACATCCTGTCATACCCTTTAACCCCAAGTAAAGCTAATTTCAGGGTATTTTTCCAAATTCTTCCTCCTCGACTGCTTAGCACCGCTGAAGGAAGTCACATGATTGTAGTAAATGAAACTGAGGGAGGAGGGAAGTTTTAAAACCAAGCAATTTTGAGAAACAGTGCATGCTCTATCACTCTTTTGGAAAGGCACAATATACAGTAGCATAGCAAAGGCTTTGAAAAATCCTGTAGTAGATAAAATTTTCTTATAACTACAGTTATCACATGTAATTGTCCATGGAAACTTCTTTTTTCCAAGTAGGCTCACTAATATCCTGTGACAGTAAAAGAGGTTAACATTTGTAGTCAGAAAGACCAGATTTTGAACCCTGGCTCTGTTTACTTGCTATTGCTAACGGTTGCTTACCCTCACTAAATCCCAGTTTCCTCAGCTGTAAATCAGAAATAATAATAACCACCTCATAAGGCTTTTGAAAGAATTAAAATTTATAAAACTTTAGCACAATGCTTAGTACCTAAGTACTCAAAAAAATATATATGTACACTTAACTCAAATTGAGAGCAAACACAGATCTTAAAGAATGTTGCCTAAAGCAACCAGTTGAAAACCTGAAATTTGCTTGAACTTTTCCTTTTTTAATTAAAAAACCCATTTGAAAACTGTAATCTATGACTCTAAATGTTATACTTTTGTTGTTGTTGTTGTTAAACGTTTCTAATGGTCATTCTCCCTTGAATGACCCATGCATTCAATTTTTATGTCATTCAACTGTAGTGGACCTGTCTCTGGTGCCAATAATTTTTTTTATCTGAGTCCCTATCTAACTTACTGCTTTTGATATGCTTTGAACTTGGAAATAAGACAATCATGCTTATAAATAATTTTAAAATATAGACTCAATACATATACTCTGAAGAAGGGCTTGAGGAACTTCTCATGAATTTGAGTTTAGCATACAGACTTTCTGATATCTCCTCACTGTTTATGGGGTGTTTTGTGCGTCATTCCTAATTCATAGCCACATTCCACAAAAGTAGGGAAATCAGGGTCTTTGTGATTCTTTTACTTATGGAATTTTCCTTTTAATTTTAATATATTTATTAATTCATTTAAAAATAAATGCTTTTGCATGTAACTAAAATACTTTTATGAAAAATACTTTCTCAAAAATACTGAGAAAAATGGCATTATTTTACATATTTGCAAATCTCTTTAATGTCTGGTTTAAAACAAGACGGCTGATTTCCCCTATCTGCTTCTGCATTCTATTTGTTGTGACACTTGTCATGTAGCCCCTGGAAAACTACTGTACACATGTGGGAGAATAAGAGGAAAAGGCAAACAATGGCTTAAAATATTATGAAAATAGTTCTGACCTCATAGACCCACCCTGAGCACACCATAAGAACCAGTGCCTAAAGCAGATTCAGCCATGCTGGAAGCCATCCCACTCCCATAGTTATCACTTACGTGAGCCCATAAATACTTATTTTGTGCTTAGCTTAAACCAGCTGGAATTGGGTTTCTGCTACTTGCAACTAAATGAATTCTGAGCAATACAGGGTGTAACTCATTCAGAGCTCTTCCTTGTTTAGGAGAAAGTTTAGGGGAACCTAGTGCAGTCTCAGAAGAAACTGAAACTTCTTGCCTTTTTTCTCTTTCTACTGCTATCTGCCTTTCTTCTACCTCTACCTTAGAATTCTTCCACAATTCTAACTTAGAATTATTTTATTAATCAAATTCCTCTTTTTGAGTACTTACGAAATTCTGATGACCGTAAATATCAGTTAGCAACTACTAATAAAATGGCAACTGCATACATATAAATGGCACACAGAATCCAGAATCTCTTGAAATGTGAACACATAAATAATCATTTGTTTTATTTCTGGGAATTTATGTGGGGAAAATTAAATATACACTATTAAAAAAAGAATCATTGTTAAAAATTAATGTTCAGCTCTTAAAACCAGGTAAATACTGGAGAACAGCTAAGTAATACTTGATTTCAGAGTGGTTCTTAATTATATATAACAATTACTTTTCAGAAAGAACAGCTCCAAAAGAGAAGTCATCAGAAAAAAAAAAATTCCTCTCCAGAGGGATAACTAACATAAATATCAATGTCTTTTAAGAATTAGCAACAAGAAAAACTTGTTGACTGGGAGGAGCTCTACCTCTCATGTTCTAAGGACTTCACTTTTTTGTTTCCCAAACGTACTACCCAAGACTAAACATCGTCATTTAAACTGCAAAGCAATTTCAAAAACAAAACTATGCTGAGAAAAAAATATATACATATGCTGAGAATAAAAACACGAAGAAAGGACGTCTTTAAATCCTTTGTTCGACTTTGTAATCCCTTTGGAAGGAGCATGAGGCTGGAAAAGAAAAAGGTTACTTAAGCGGGCCAGTCCAGAAGAACGAAACATGATGCAGTGTTTATCTGACGAATGAAGTGTCAATTAGCAAGCCCCGCCTCTCCATCTTTGCAGCCGCTTCCACCAGCCTGGAGGTAGAGGGTTAAGAGAGGCAAAGTGGAGATCAAAAGAATAGAGGAAAACAGGGTCAGGCTCTGAGAAGCTGGAAATGAAATTAGAACATTGGTGGAAATACGAGGAAGGCGTGGCAGGAGAGCCGCATGCCAACCGGGAAGATCCTTGGGCCGATTAAGACTCATGCAGGGTGTTCGCTAGAGGAAAAAATGAAAGGGTGTTGGGGTGAAGAGCTACGAAGGCTTCGATGACAGCTCGGACTGGGTGTTCGATTTGCAGGGGCGGGGGCGACCCAGGAGTTTTCCATTGTACGCGCCCCTGCGCTCCCTCCCCTCTCTTCCCCGCCCCCGCCCGAGCCCGAGTCCGCACAGCGCCGGGCCTCAGCACCCGTCGCTGCCTGTGCCTCCCATTTGCCCAAGGTAGGAGACAGTATGCTCAGCCCTCCTCCGACCCTTTCTCACCGGATGAAGATCGGCGTCGCCCGGCCTTCCCCTTGTCCATCTTCTCCTCCTGCAGGAGTCGTAGTTGCTGTCGCTGTCACCTCAAGACCCCTTAGGCTGGGGAAGGGAGGGGGAGGGGAGAGAAAAAAAGCTAGGAAAGTACGAACCGCGCTTGCGCAAGAGCTGTCGTCGGCCCTCAGACCGGAAATCAACCGCCCCTCCCACATCCACCCGGAAATTACTTCCTGGGACCTGTTTTCTTTGTGGGTTGCCACTCTGAGCCCTTTTTAAGAGGCGCTTTTCTCATTGTCTGCTCCCTTATGACAGAGTGAGTCTGGTTGCAAAGTTTTAGCCCGAGACCTTCAAGGGCTTTGCTGACTGGGAAGACTAATTTGCCTAAAAAATTAGACGCAAAACTTGAGGAATTCCGCCAGGTCCCTGGAACCCGCGAGGTGGCCCCAGAAATATGAGAATAAAACGTTACCCCTTTTGCAGTATTTCTTTCCTCAGGATCTGTCCTATATATTTGTCTTAAAGGCGCTCCCTGAAACGCAGAAACAAAAAGATTTTAAGACAGCAAAATCACTTAGTAGCCTAGCAATTGGTTTAGCAGTTTGAGTGGAAATTAGGTCAGCGGAGGGGGAAAAATGTCGGAGAGTATCTCATTAAAATTCAGGCTCGTCATTTTTAAAGACCAGAAAATAAACTGGACATCAATTTTTAAAAACAAAATACTGATGTGATAAAAAGTGGATGGCTGTAAACTGAAATGCATTCAACTAACTTTTATTACAGTACCTAAGGGCATAGCCCTGTCCTCAATGAACTCAACTTTTAGACTGATTATTTTTTAGTCTTTCAAAGGGCCCATCAGTTTAGAAAATTGCCCTATTTTGTTAGCCATAATGTACATATGTGAATAATTTTTTTAAATATGTAAGCCTTAATCACAATACTCGAACAAAATTCAACAAAGCACTCTAGTCAGAGGCAAAATGATAGTGTAATGTTCCAAGCTAAAAGGAATCCTGGAGATACTGGAGTTTAATATCCCACTTTTCCCTCTTTTACCAAGGTCAACAAAGGAACTTGCCTAACTCGCCACTAGAGCCCAGTCTCGCACTTCTTGAGGCTTGCATCTTGATTACTGTGTGGTCTGTGCTGAGGTGGAGGTAAGCAAGCCTTCAGGTGCTAAGGCCTATTGGGCTTGGGGGAGTGTCTTACAGGGCAGGAATACCTGAAAAGCAGGAATATTTAAGGGCTGGCTTAAGAGATTGAAATTCACTGCAAGGATTTCATTTAGAGGCCCTAGTTTATTTCTGTTTAACAAACAGAAAACATTGCTTGCTGAAAAATATTTTTAAGTTTACTCATAAATCAACATTTTTAATTGAATAATTCAATGCAAGAATCAAACCGGCTTAATTTGTTAGCCAATTTTGTAGGAAACAAATTAACAGCAAAAGATGGAAATGGAGTTGAGAGATGGAAATATGAAAAAGGAAAGTGTAAGTAGACCTAATCCATTTTCACCCAAACTAGCAGCTTTCGTAAAAGTAAGTGGTTTTAAAGTTTAGCAGTGAGAAGTAAACTTATGAAAAATGAAACTATAAGAAGTTGATCAAGCTATTTGGCATGCAAATATTTCATTGCCACTGAACCAAATATAGTATTTCTGCTAATAAAGACTTAGCCAGTTTGTTTCTTTGAACTGGAGCTTATTTTGAATAACATACTTGAAGTTAAGTGAACTTTAAGCTCAAGAATATCAAATTTGCCTTTTTAACCAGTATTTTTATTGTTGTAGCTTTAACAATCAATACTGCATAGTTGACTGTATTGCAAACAACTAAAGTAATAAAAAGTTCAGTTTCTACTTTTGAGGAAGTCATTTAACAACCTCATTTTGCCTTTTATGAAAGACTAATTAAATAATCTTTCTTTTACAATGTTTTATGATGTTCAGCTGAAAGCTTCCTTATTTAAAAAATATGAAAGACCAAAAACAGTGAATTATTTTCTTAGTATGTTTGATGATATAATTTCTTTTATGTACATTCAGTTCACACTCGATAGAGCCTTTTAAATTAAAGTCATCTGAGATTAGAAATTCATCAGCCCAGCATTTTATAAGAGGAGAGAGAGGATGGACTGATTTGATCTTAATGAGTATGGTTCTCTATTAAGTGTTAGAAGTGTATATTAAGTATTTAAATTAGGTATTCATTATATTTTTGTTCCAGCAATGGGTATGGTTTTAATACAAGACATTATGGCTATGTGAAATTGATCAAACCCTTTGTTTTACCCCTTGATTACAATTTCTTGGAAGAGAGAGTAATGAACTCTACAAAAGGCCCTTTCTCATCACAAATGAATAACTTTAATCACAATACAAATGTAAATAGGTTTGGATGAGCACTGGGGACATCTTGACTTCCTAACTGTTTTAAATATTAAAATGAACAAGGCACCCCAGTCGGGACCCCCTCTCGTTTTGATAGCTGTTTACTTTTTGCTCTAACAAAACTATTCTCTGCTGTAAACTTTAAAAAAATAAAAATAAAAATTTAAATTAAATGAACAATCTGGAATTTATTACCACAGGCTCCAGGAAAGCCTAGATTTTGCAGATATTTAGAGTACTGTGTCATAATTGCTATTCACTTTATATTCATTAGTAGTTGACTCTTATCTTTAAAATATTGAGAATTTTTATATGAAGGAAGTTTATCTTCCACAGATAAAGGAAATAACGTGATAAAAAATGCAGATGGATTGTTTGGCTTCAATGATATCTTTCTTTGTAAGGTAATCAGTAATTGTAACTACCCTGAAATAGAATAACCTGTTCCAGAAGTTATGAAAACCTGCAGTAACTCAGGGCATTTGAGCAGCAGAAGTAATCTTTAGTCCAGGAAGCTATAAAAGGAATCTATGCACAAACCTTTAACCTAGGGTCCCTAAACTATCATTTGGCCCTGGGAATGAACCTAAGGTATCTTGTACATACATCACTAATTTCTTTGAAGTGTTCTGTCTTAAAATGTTGTGTTTATTTAGCATTTCTACACCTTAACACATCCAGTCGATTTTAATAGAAAAATTTCGTGTTATAATTTAGTAAAATAGAGGCTTTAATCTTCTTTAACCTTTAACTTTTGGTACCCATTTACCTCTGAATAATCCAAATCAAGAAGCATAGGATCTAGGATTGGACAAAGTCAGTAAATCCAAAATGTAGCTGTCAGAATTATTTGGGAGAATCTTTTTTTAAATTACCTATTTCCACGTCCCATCTCAGACCTTTTGAATCAGAATCTCCTAGAAGAGGAGCCTGATAATCTGTATGTTTAAAAAGTTTCCCAGGAAGACATATCGGGTTTAAAAAAAAAAAAAAAGCATAAAACTAAACTGTTGAACTATAGGTGCTAGGGCTGCACACTCAGGAGATAAAACCATAAAGAAATACTAAGTCAGTGGTAACTTTTAGAGGGAAGGATAGGGTACTTGAAGCCACTTTAGGGATGACTGGCAAAGCCAACCTAGGGTGGTTACAAGGGTGTTTCTCTTTTAAATAGTTCACTAAACTACTAATTTTTAAAACTTTCCTAGGAGATTCTGTTGCATACTCAAATTTGGGAAACCCAAATTTTGGTTACACCTGATTTCTTTTTTCCTGCCCCTAATATCCTATTTTCTAAAGGTATTTGCCTCAGGTGGATTAAAGTCAGCTTCTTTAGTCTTTCCTGGGGAGAGGTAGACAGGAGGAAAGAATACTATTTAGTTTGCTCTTTTTTGAAACTTCTATGTATATAATTTAAAAAGCTCTATAGTTTTCTACTATTTTCTACAATTCATTAAATAGAATTTCATACAGACATAATTATTTTTCTTAAAAAAACCTCATAGTTGCATTCTGTGTTGGGAAAATGAAAATAGTGCTGCTCTTGTACCAAAACAATAATTGTTTTCTTTATCCTGAGCAAAGCATCCTTCATTCTGTGCTTCTTAATGGCATAGGATATACAAAAGGACCTCTTTCTTAAATATACCAACAGATGGTAATTGCTAAAATAGGGTATCACTTTGTAACCAGGGGCGAAGGGGAAATAAGGAGTTATTACTAATGGGAACAAAGTTACAGTTTTGCAAGATGAAAAATGTTCTGTGGATGGATGGATGTAATGGTTGCACAATACCGTGAATGTACTTAATGCCACTAAACTGCATGCCAAAAAATAGTTAAAATGATAAATTTTAGTGTATTGGATCACAATTTTTAATTTTAAAAATAACCACACCTAGAACAAACATAACATCTGTGTCACCACCTAATCCAGATTACTAGGATCTAATTTGAAATTCTCATTATTATATATTATTTTCTTTTTTTTTTAATTTCATTCAACATAAAATGACTAGACTTCTTGATATAGGAAACTAAGTAACAAATGCCCTCATGAAATTTTCGGTGAATGAATGAAATAAACAGTCAAATACTATACATTTTTAAGATAATTGGTAAAAATTAATCTCTCAGCCACTTACAGCTGCCTGAGTTACTTTGGACATGTCACTTTACCTTTGGAAAGCCTCACTTCTCTATAAACTAAATGTTAGCTAAGAATATCAGTAACATCCCTTGTAGCTCTAAGAATCTTATTCTTGAAGCTAAGCTGTCTTATACCATTCTTTAGAAAACTAAACATATAGAACAGTTTGATTCTGTCCCTTATTTTAATGGACTACGTTGATTTGCAAAAGAGAAAACAAATGTATATAGATGCATAGCATATTCTCTAAGAATAATTCACAAATCGACTTTAGATTTATAGAAAAAGTACTTAATTTTTCAAAACTTTGCATGCATCTTTCTCCTGTATATACAGCTAGAGGATTTTTGTTCTGTAGTTCCTTATACCGTTAGCAAAAAGTCATAAAATTGTAACAATATTTAAGTGCCTACTATTCACCAATAACTGTTTCAAGAACTAGAGATATAATAGTGAGCAAAATTGAAGTCCTTGTCCTGCTTTCATGTAACTTACATTCTAATGGGGGGGAAACAGACAATAAGCAAATATGTCAGTTGATAAAAGCATAGAAATGAAAAGGGGGGAGAGAAAATGAAAGAGAGAAGGAGAAGGGGAAGGAGAAGGGGCAGCAGCAGCGGGGGAAGAAAGAGAGAGAATAAAGAAGAGGGAGGAAGGAAGGAAGGGAGGGAGGGAGGAGAGAAAGGAGGGAGGGAGGGAGGAAAAGAAAAGGAAAATGAAGCATCATAGGTAAGGAGTGAGGAAGGCTTGGAGGGGATTGCCCTTTCAGATAGAATGCCCAGAGAAGGTTTCTTTGATCAGTTAACAGGTGGGCAGAAACTTTAGGGAAATGAAGCCCTATAGATAACTAGGGGAAGAGTGTTCCAAGCTGCGGGCATAGCAAGGGGAATGCCTTTAAACAAGGGCATGCTTCACAAATTGGAAGCGAAGAAGCCAAGTGTAGCTTGAGTGAAGTAAGCAAGAGAACGGTGGGAAATCACACCTGAGAAAGAGCTAAGAGCCAGATCATGTAGCTATTGGGTTGTTGGAAAAGTCATGATGCATTTTTGCAATGGAAAACATATGTCATGACTTTTCTGACAACCCAATAGATGAGTAAGCAAGTGAGAGCATGGAAGGAAATGACACTGGAGAGCTAAGGGCCATGTGGGACCTTGTAGGCCATGGTAAGGACTTAGGCTTTTATTCTGCGTGTGAGGGGAGGTCACTGAGAATTTTGAACAGGGGCATAAGATCCAACTTAGGTGTTTTGAAAAGATCATTCTAGCTGCTATGTGGAAAATAGACTGCAGAGAAATAAGAGCTTATGGAAAGAGGTTGGATAGTAAACTTAATGAAAGTGAGAGTTGATGGTGACTTGGATGAGGGTGGTAGAGGTGGAGGGGGGATAAGTGATTAGATTACAGATATATTTTCAAATAAGGGAGCCTACAGATTTGATGATTAACTGGGTATAGAATGTGAAAGAGAGAAGGGAGGTTTGCAGCATGAGCAAGTGAAAGAATGGAGTTGCCATTTACAAAGATAGGAAAAACTAGAGGGAAAGTAAATTGAAAGGGGTGATTGGGACATGTTAAGTTTGAGATGGCTATTTGATATCCAAGTAAATATATGAA